ACGGGAGAGGATCTTCCTCTAGGGGCTCTGGGGGCTACCAGTGTGAGGAGCAGGTGGTCTGATTAAGGCTGGGAGGGATTAAGGACCAGAGGACTGTTTGTAGATGGCCCAGTGTAGCAGTCCCTGCTGGTTGTGTGCCTGCTTCCTGCCTGGGTGATTCAAGGGTCCCAGCCTGGCTGCAGGGGATGGTGAGTGCCTGCAGCACAGGAAGCTGACTGGGCACCAAGGCTTCAGGGCTGTTCCCCAAGGTCAGCACTCTGGGCTTGGAGCTGAGACTTGTCCTTTGTGCAGAGGCTGCACTGAAGCCTCCAGAAGATGGCAGGAACCCCTGGAGCATGGGCCACGCCTACAGCCTCAGAGCCCAGGGCTAGCCCTAAGCTTGCAGCTGGGGAACATGGACTTGCTGAAGAGCTGTGTGTGTGTGCAGAGCTATTGTTAGGGTCTGTTGGGATGTGGTTTGTTGGTTTGCTTCTTTGTTTTTTCCTTAAGATTTTATTTATTTTTAATTGGAAAGTCCAATATACAGAGAGGAGAGACGGAGAGCAAGATCTTCCATCCGTTGATTCACCCCCCTCAAACAGCCACAATGGCCGCAGCTGCGCCAGTCCAAAGCCAGGAACCCGGACCCTTTCCGGGTCTTCCACATAGGTGCAGGGTCCCTAAGCCTTCAACTGTCCTCACCTACTTTCCCAGGCCACAGGCAGGGACCTGGATGGGAAGTGGGGCCATCTGGATTAGAACTGGCACCCATATGGGTGCAAGACAAGGGATTTAGCCGCTAGGCTACTACACCAGGCCCTGGGACGTAATTTCTACCCCTGCTCTCTTGTTGTGTTGTAGGCTGAGCTCCCCTCAACCCACCCCTGGCACGATGCCATCTGTCTGGCCTGAATGCTTAGTAGTAGCAGAACAGTTTGGTTACAGGTCCTTGGGCAATGACAGGAGCAAGCTGGCTTCCCCAGTAGGCTGTCACCCCTTCCACATGGAGGGAAGGCCTTTGGCTTGCCTGGTTTCTGCTCCCTGCCAGTCTCCTGCGCCAGGCAGAGGCAGGGGTCGTTGTGGTGTGTCTGTGTTAGGAGAGAGGAGTTCAGTAAGCCGCATGGAGGGCCAGAGCCGGCATGGCGTTCCAGTGTGCTGAAAGTGAAGTCTTGGTTCTCTTACCAGCAGTTCAGGAGACGCCACATCTATACCTGCTTTGCCAGGAGGCTTCCAACTGCTTCACCTGTTAGAGAAGCAGAAGTGCCCACAAGGGGGAGAGGGAGCTTGTCTTTGTGCTCTTGCCTCGTTTCTTCTCATAGAAGTTTCAGAAATTCCATGTTCATGCTAAGTGTTAGCTCTTTCAGGGACAGGAGTAAGCATGGCTAGTAGAGAGGCAGTGCTTAGCCCAGCTGCAGCTGTATGGCTTGAGTGGTAATTGGAGAGTGGTGGCCTGGGGTGGTGATCCTGGCCCTTACCCAGGTCCCTGCCTCTGCCTGCCTTACCCTCACTAAAGACACCCCAGAACACCGCCGCCCCCCACTAAAAATAAGGCGAATACTTCCGAAAAGCTAAATATTGGGCCCAGCTCAGTAGCCTAGCAGCTCAAGTCCTCACCTTGTATGAGCCGGGATCCATGTCCCTGCTTCTGGCAGGGAAAGCAGTTGAGGATGGCCCAAAGCCTTGGAACCCGGCAACCTCATGGGAGGCCCGGAAGAGTGTCTGAGCTCCTGACTTTGGATCAGGCAGCTGCGGCCGTTTAAGGGGGGGTGAATCAATGAACAGAAGATCTTGACTCTGTCTCTCCTCCTCTCTATATATCTGCTTTTCCAATAAAAATAAAGTAAGTCTTTAAAATAAAAAAAGGCCAAATGTAGGCTGGATCCAGTCCTGCAAGGACCTCCTGCCCTGAGCTGGGGGCAGGGGTGTGATCCTCTTGGCAGGCTCCTGCCTCGTTGGCCTTTAGCCATACCCGCTGTTCATGTCCCTCCCATTTCTGACCTCTCTGAGCTTTCTGGCAGGTGACCCCTGCCCAGATGGAGGTTGAGGGATGGTGTGTGCTTCACGCTGCTGCAGCTGGAGGACAAGTGACAGGGCACCTCTCCTTTTCTGTCCCAAGGGTATAGCTGGCCCCATCTCCCCTTCCCTTTGAGGATTGCTGTGCTGCGGTGAAGACTGCCAGCTGTGGAGTGTGCTTATGGGGTTTTGGTTTCCATGACCCATGGCTCTCTGGGTTTTCCACCCGCGGGCCCACCAGGCAGCTGTTTAGAACTGAGGACAGACTGGTTTTCCCTGTGGGAAGTTGTCTGACACTGCCCTGGGAAGTCCCTCCTGGGAACCTTCTCCCAAGGGGGTCTGGATTACCTGCCCAGTAGGACACCCTTCCCAGAGAGGAGGGTTTTTCTTCCATAATTAGCACACCTTGTCCCTTGGCAGTCGCAGAAAGTTCCTGGTTTAGCCAGTGTGCAAGTGGGAGGGGGCCCGGCAAAAGAACCAGCAGGGCTGGATAGTAGCAGAGCCTCTGCTTTCCTCAGCCAACCCAGCTGGACCCCCACCCCTCCCCCAGCCCCACCCAGGGCAGTGCTGCAGTCAGGGTTCCCACACGGCTTCAAAGAAGCATGACTCACACAGAGCAGGCAACAGGGACCTGGTCTCTCCTCAGGCTGTGTCACTGCCTGACACACGGCTGCATGAAACCTGGGAGTTGTTGCCCTGCCGTGTTTTCAGTAGGTGACAGGGACTTTAGCAGAGTTTTGCAGAGGTCACTGGATTAATTGGGAAATGTGACTGCCCTGTGATGTGATTTTGAGGCCTCCCTGAAGCAGCCACCCTGGGGGCAGCAGGTGGCAAGAGACTGGGGAGCTGACTGGAGGGAAAATAGCAGGACGCCCCATGCAGCCCAGGCTTCGCTATTCCTGTCTGGCATCCTGGAACCCTCCACAAGAGCACCTAATTCCTCTGCATCCCAAGCCCTCCCTTGCCAGACCCCAAGCTCCTTGTCGGTCCCCTTCTTGCACTGTACTTGGTGTTCAAGTCTTCAAAGGCCTAAACCCAGGTGACCTCAGCATTGGGCCTCAGCCACGCCCGGGCCCAACCTGCACTGTCACTTTGGGCCTGTTGAGGGGCTTCAGCTGCAGCCCAGCTGCTGGCCCCTGGGGCTGGCTCACACCAAGTACAGCTGTGCTCTGGCTGGTGTTTGTTGGCTTTTTTACCTTGGCCCGAGGGTGCTCTGGGTTTCTGAAAAGTGCCTATGGGTTGTAAGCCACAGGGATGCTTTTGGGAAGGAAAGGAGGTTGCTGATAAGCAGGCCAGGCACACCAGGCAGGTCTGGGTAGAGTCTGAGGCTGCTTAACAGATGCTTAGGGGCTTTAGGAGCCCTCTACGCTTCGGGAGTGAATGGATTTGCCAGTGTGACTGGGCCCACAAGTCCCCCGCACATGGCCTGAGCCTGGCAGGCTGCCTCTCCTGTGCAGTTTCCGAGGAGGAAAGGCTACGTACTCTGCCCTCAACCGGGTTTTCTGAGAACACTCTAGTGTGGCTGGTCTCCAGCTAGAGGGTGCCCAGCCACCTCGTCCCTGGCTCCTGGCCACAAGAGCCAGCTGACAAAACGGGAATCTATGGGAACCCTTAAGCTTGGCACTGTGAGGGTTAAATCCTGGCCCTGCAGGGGCTGCTCCCAGCTCTTGGGGCTGCTTGTGAATAACAATAGCAGTGGGAAGTTTAGTTGAAAAGGCTGGGCCTGTCAGGTGGGGAGGGAGCAGGGGTGCTACTGAGGGGCATATTGTCTGGCACCTTACTTGGCAGGCCTGTGCTTCAAGTTGGGGAGTGGGGTAGGAAGAAAAGGGCTGCTCACCAACATTCCCTCCCCGGCGGCCTCCCCCAGTCCCTCCTTAGCCCTGTTAGCTCCTTGCACAAGGCTGGCCAACTCTGGCTGTGCTCCGACTGGGACTAGATGGGCCCTGCGTCTGTGGAGCTCCCCTGCCCAACAGAATGAGGAGGTGATGTGTGTCATGGCATCCTAGGTCAACAGCTCTGGGCTGCCTAAGACTTTGCTTGCTTGCCACTGCCTGGCATCCTGCCTGCCAAGAGGGAGAAGCAAGGAACAGGACAGGACTGACAGGGTAGCCCAGAGTGTCTCCTGTGCTACTTCTTGTCATTGATCATTTTTTTTAAGGTTTATTTATTTTTATTGGAAAGTCAGATATACAGAGAGGAGAGACAGATGAAGACCTTCTGTTCAGTGATTCACTCCCCAAGTGGCCACTGCTGAGCTGATCAGGAGCCAGGAGCTTTCCACCTCGTCTCCCAAGTGGGTGCAGGGTCCCAGGGCTTTGGCCCATTCTCTACTGCTTTCCCAGGGCACAAGCAGGGAGCTAGATGGGAATGGGGCTGCTGGGATTAGAACCAGCACCCATACAGGATCACTGGGCCTGCAAAGTGGGGTTCTTAGCCACTAGGTTGCTGTGCTGGGCTCCATTGATGACTTCTTTCCCTACCTTGTGTGCTTGGCTGGGCTTGGGAGCTACAACCCTGGGTTTCTCACACTCAGGAGCCTGCTGTATCTTCCACAGCCACACTGAACTGAAGTTCCCTCAGCTCCCAAATTGTGGTCTTGCCAAAGCCAGGTCTTTGCCCTCGATAACATTTTCCCAGCAGAACCCAGGGATGGCTTTCCCACTTCATGAGCCAGATGGAGCCTCAGAGATGAACTTTGGCAGTGCTTATGAAGGCACTGGTGGTGGACTCCTGTCCCTCAGTCCTCCTCCTCTCCTCTCCTGCATGGCGACCACCTTCTATCCTGTTGTGGCTGACAGGAGAGTGCTGAGAGAAGTTGCCTTACCTCCAGCTCCTCAGTCTGGTCCCAGGATCTTCATAGCCCTGGGGCTCCTTCAGAGTCAAAGCTGAAGTGAGGGGGGTCCTGAACAAGTGCTGATGGGCTGACTCCACTGGACCTTAGCATTTTGGAAGGGCAGGCTGGGAACAAACTCAGGAGGGCTCTTAATGGCCTGCCTTCTACCTTACAGGTGACAGGGACTCCATGACACACACTCGGAGAAAGTCCCTTCCCATGCTAAATTCAGGCTCCCCTGGTCGCCAGGAGTCCCTGCAGATGGAGGACAGCCACATGGAGCAGGGCACAGAGGGTGTGGAACCAGGCATGCCTGATAGCCCTGGGCATCTCACAGGACGCCGTAAGAACTACCCACTGCGCAAGCGTCCACTGGTTCCTGAGAAGCCCAAGACCTGCAAAGTGCTACTGACTCGCCTGGAGAATGTGGCTGGTCCACGCAGTGCCGATGAGGCTGACGAGCTGCCTCCTGACCTGCCCAAGCCCCCCAGCCCAGCTCCATCCAGCGAGGACACTGGCCTTGCCCAGCCCCGGAAGCGACGCCTGGCATCCCTCAATGCCGAGGCCCTCAACAACCTGCTGCTGGAGCGGGAAGACACAAGCAGCTTGATGGGCACCCGCCGCAATCGAGGGGGAGACCCACAGCGCAGCCGGGACCGCGACCGGGGCAGCAGCACTTGGTCCTCCAAGAAGCGACCCCGACTCGGGGACCTTGGAGAAGGAAATCGGGACCTGTCCCCAGAGCCAGCCCCCGATGAAGGTGGCCGTAGAGATGGAGACCCAGCTCCAAAGAGACTGGCTAGCCTGAATGCAGTGGCCTTCCTGAAGCTGAGTCAGGAGCGCGAGCTTCCCCTGCGGCCGCCTCGGGCCCACACAGACACAGATGGACGCTCCACTGAGCTCCCTGCGCCCAAGGCCCCAAGGCCAAAGTGGGCCAAGGTCAATGGCAAAAACTATCCCAAGACCCGACAGGGGGTGGGCTTCGGGGAAGCTGCAGGCCCAGCAGGCTGGCAGGGGCACCACGATGAGCCGTGGCCAACTGCCACTCGTCGTGAGCCAGCCAGCCAACCCCCTCAGCAGCCCCTGGGGAAGGCTCTAGAGCCCCCCTTGCTGCGCCCACAGCTGCCATTGCTCATGGGCGGGCAGGCAGCACTGAAACCGGAGCCTGGGCGCCCAGGTGAGGAGTCGCCTGCTCCCAAGCAGGAACTACATCAACCCTCTTTTCCCACTCCTCAGCTGTCCTTGCTGCCCATGCCTGGCAATCCTGCCGACTACAGTGGCCTATGTGCCGGGCCAGAGCTCACGGCGCTGGGCAGCTTCTACCTGTACTGTGGCCAAGAAGGGCTGAAGTGTGCAGGCTACTCGGCCTGCCCCGTGCTCCCGGAGGGCAAGTTGTCCCCAGTGGCTGCTCCTAACGAGGAGCTCCTCATGGCGCCGAACTCGGTGCCCTCAGGCTCGCCTTTCCAGCAGCCTGCCTGGGGCTCCTCTCGTTACTGCTCCAGTGAGGACGCTGCAATGAATGGCTACAGCATCTGTGGAGTGTTGCCCTTGTCTCTGAGCCGCGTTGGCACTACCTGTGGCAGCTGCCCCTACAAAATGCCTTTTGCAGCAGGTGAGCCTGCCTGGGAATGGGGAGCCTCTGAGCCAGGGTACCCAGGGTGGGCTGGGGTCCAGACACTGCCGCCTGACACAAGGCTGAGGAAGGAAGGAGTGCCTGGTCTGTGCCCCAAGTCTTTAGGGAGTTCCAGGAGAGGGACCTGTTTGGCTCTTGAGGCAAAGCACTGCTCCACCCAGGCCATCTATGGAAATGTCCTGGGAGAGAGAGCCTGAAGGTGGTGAGTGTGCAAGGGCCTCGCCCCCTCTTCCCCAAGGTACCTGCCTGGACTCTAAGCCTAGGACTCCCGTGCCCTTGTATCCCCATTCCTCCCTCTCCACAAGCCTAAACCTTCTGTGGGCCAGCTTTCATGCGGAGGGTACATGGTGCTAGGGGCAGCTTCACCTCGACCATCCAGGTCTGAAGGCTATTATTTTGCTTGATGTGGACAGGATGAACAAGCAGGGTTCAGTGTCCCCTCACAGTGAGAGGCTTGTGGCCTGCTGGCTAGACACCCCGAGGTTACTCCTGGGTGGGAGGGCAATGAGTGGCCCCCTACCTCCCGCTCTTGTAAGGGTCTATAAAACAACTTTATAGACTACTTGGCTCTGGCTAGACTGGTTGTTTCAGGTTTGGTATGAGCTCTGAGAAATGAGAGCAGTCTGCCTCCTTAGCTTTTCCCTTATCCCCTAGACCCTTACCCCACACCCCACCCTGATAAGAGAGACACTCGCCTCATCACATGCTGGGTGGGGTTTGGAGTGCTTTGCCTAGGGAGACCAGAGGCACGTGACTGATCTCAGACTCTGGAGCCAGACTGCTGGGAGTGAAATGTTTTCCCCCACTTCCTTTCCGTGTGACCACGGGGCACAGCGGTGACTAACTGTGAGGTGATGGCACCTGCCTACTAATAGGGCTGTGGGAAGGATGGAATGATCTCATGGGTTCACGAGGAAAAGAGCCAGAGTGCTGGGGAATGTGCAGGACCCATAGCTCTGCTTGCACTGCACTGAGGTGCTGAGTGAGCCGTCAGGTCATGTAGTGTTAAGTGACCCCAGCAACCCCAGCTCCTAAGCACTTTGTAAACTTCAGGGAAGTTAGACGAGTGCAAGAAGCTGTTCTTACCTCATCTCCTTTCGGGGGAGATGGGAATGTCTGCTGGCCAATCACCGAGGTCAAGAAATTTCTGCCCACTTTGAGCAGTCACTCTGGCAGTTCCCCCAGCGCAGCGCCTTTGGGTGCCTCTTAGGATGGACACTACAGCAGGCCCTGGGGGCTGAGTTCCCTGCCCTGACCCACTTTATCCTTGTCCCAAAAGGCTGCAGGTCCCTGGGCCAGCTGGAATTTCCTCTTCCAGAAGCCTCACCTGCCCACCCTCTCCTGGGATGCCCAGTACCCAGTGTGCCACCTGCAGCAGAACCTGTCCCACATCTTCAGACACCCACCTCGGAGCCCCAGACAGTGGCTCGTGCGTGCCCACAGAGCGCCAAGCCGCCCAGCGGGTCCAAGTCAGGTCTGCGTACGGGCTCCAGCTGCAGGCACACCGCCAGGAGCAAGACTGCCCGCAGGCCCAGCCACCCAAAGCAGCCACGGGCCCAGCGCCCCCGTCCCCGCCGCCGTCGCCGCCGCCGCACTAATGGCTGGGTACCTGTTGGGGCTGCCTGTGAGAAGGCTGTCTATGTCCTGGTGAGTGCCAGCAGCTAATAATTGAGCAAGGAAGGATGGCAGTAGGGACAAGGGACTTGGTGTGAATTGGGTTCCAGGAACTCTAAGCCCTGCTGACTCCATCCTGGACTCCCCTGGGAGCTGGGCACGCATGGGTTCTGTCCCTGCATTGGGGCAGCCAGCTGAATGTCCTCACCTCTCAGCCCTATCTGTGCTGGATTTCAAAGTAAAGAGCTTAAACGGAGGGGCTTAAGGGCACAGGGATGTTGGGATGGACAGAGGAAACTGGTGATATGGGAGCATTGGGGATGATGAAAAGAATGTCAGCTCAAGTTTATTGAGCACTTCTTAGACGCCAGAACTGAGCTCAGCACTTTACGTGTAGTAAGCCTTTAATCCTAACCACTACCCTATGTGGCATATGACCCATGAGCCTATAATTATCCCCATTTTACAGATGAGCAAACTGAGGCTAAGCACCAGATTAAATAATTTGCTCAAGGCCATGTCACTCAGAGTGGAAGTTTCAGGGTTCAAACCAAGTTTTGACCTCCCATCAGGGACTATGAGCCCTTGACCCATGCAAGGGGCTTGCTGTGACAGGAATAGGGGGTTGTCAGCTCAGTCCACACACTCCCATGCTGTCCCTGAAAAGCCAGGCATGGGGGAGAGGTCCAGTGGGCAGACCGGCCAGGTGGGAGTGACTATCGTAAGAGTGCCAGAAGGGGCCAGTGCCTCAGGGTGTCTGTGCTCGCTGGGCATGGCCCTGCAGGCCCACGTGGCTCCCTGCTTTCCTGCCTAGGATGAGCCAGAACCAGCCATCCGCAAGAGCTACCAGGCAGTAGAGCGGCGTGGCGAGACAATCCGGGTCCGGGACACAGTCCTCCTCAAGTCAGGCCCTCGAAAGACATCTACGCCCTACGTGGCCAAGATCTCTGCCCTCTGGGAGAACCCTGAGTCAGGTACTTCTTCCTCTGAGCAGTGCCCCAGGAAGGCTCTCGCCCGAGGCTCCCTGTGTTCCAGGCACCAGGGGTACCTTCCACTCAGCTGGGCTCATATTGACCTTGCCAGCCACTGGGGCTTGGCACCTGTCTCCACCCTTGACCTGTCAGTGCCTGTTCACCTTTCTCCTTCTGTGCTAATGGCATATCAGGCTGCCTCCCCCTCTGGGGCCAGAGCCTGTGGGGTTGGCCCTGGTTTTGAGGTTGAGTGAGGCTCTGCCTGACCACCTGAGTGACAGGCTGCCAGCTGGAGCCATGACCTGTTGTCTCCTCAGGGGAGCTGATGATGAGCCTCCTGTGGTATTACAGACCCGAGCACTTGCAGGGAGGCCGCAGCCCCAGCATGCACGAGGTGAGCTGCCCAGCAGATGTATGGGAGAAAGGAGGGCAGAAGGGAGAGGTTGTGGGACCAAGCCATGGTATGAGGAGTGCAACCCTGGGCAGTCAGGTCCTGAACTTGCCACTATGATCTCCACGGAATCTGGAGAAGGGTCTGCAATTTAGCCTTTTTTCCAACATGCGCCAGTTCATGTTTGTCTTCAAAGGGAGACGGAGAGGGAGCCCATGGGGGTGAGGGTTGCCATCATGGCAGAAGTGGCAGCAGGAAAGGTGAGGTGGAACTGCATACCTAGCCCTCTGTGGCTTGGGTCACGGCTGAAACCTCACTCCTCACCAGGCAGGTGGCAGAGCCTGGAGCCAGTACCCTGCTTGCTGCTCCTGGGTCAGATAGGAGGACAGGAATGTAGGATGGGTACCTTTTGGGGGTGGAGGGGTTGGGGGGATTGGGGTAGGTCAGGAGGCTCTCTGGCCTGCTGGAGTCTGGTTGGGTGTGCAGCCCAGCAGAGGGTCAGATCTATCTTGCTTTTGGAGTTCAGGGCTCTCCAGCCCTGATCACCAACCTCCTCCTGTCTCCCCTTGAGCCTTTGCAGAATGAGGTCTTCGCCTCGCGACATCAGGACCAGAATAGCGTGGCCTGCATTGAGGAAAAGTGCTATGTGCTAACCTTTGCCGAGTACTGCAGGTAGGTGGGGCCCCGCACCCTGTGGCTGCTCCCTGTCCCCGCATGCCCCACGGCTGCATGGGCTCATTCTCCATTGGGTTTGAGCACACTCACTGGACCTGATCCCCCAGAACTATATTCCCTACACCCCATCTCCTCCACCTGCTTGTTTTAGAAGAAAGAAAAGCTTGTGACACTGAGGCAGAGTGCTTAGAGCAGAGTTGGGGGCGATAGGACTGCACTTGGAGGAAATCTAGGAGAACTGGCCCTGGCAGGTGTGGCTCCCCAGTGACAGAGAAGGGCTGGCTTTCCGCAGATCAGGTGTGGCCCCTGGGGGCAGGGAGGGGCCATCCTAGCTCTGCCGGCTAGGGTGGGGAAGGAGTCACTCTTCTTGCACGTGTGGCTGCGGTGAGCAGAACCAGCGTTTGTTCCTGCAGGTTCTGTGCCATGGCCAAGCGCCGAGGCGAGGGCCTCCCCAGCCGGAAGACAGCACTGGTACCCCCCTCGGCAGACTACTCTACCCCACCGCATCGCACAGTGCCCGAGGACACGGACCCCGAGCTGGTGTTCCTTTGCCGCCATGTCTATGACTTCCGCCATGGCCGCATCCTCAAAAATCCCCAGTAGCCTCCTTGTGCCCACACTGGGGCTGCCCAGGGGCAAGTGGGGCACAGGATGGGGGCATTGCTTGAAGCACAGCACTTGGTTAAGGAGCCACAGGGCCTGAGGGTGTGGCCTGTGGTTCTCTTGGGAGGGGGGACAGGGGCCCACTTTGGTGCTGGACCCCATGGGAGGGAAGGGGAGACCAGGGTTGCAAAGAAGTCCCAGAGCTCTCCATGGGGTCCCAGACAGCTGTCCATGGTCCCCTGGGTAGAAGCTTCCCCTAGAAGTAGTCTTCCCCATGGCCCAGCCAGGCCTGAGGAACGCACACCCAAGGGATGAGGGACAAGGGACGAGGTCCTTGAGACCCCGGGCCCCACAGGCCTTTGTGCAGCCTCCCTAGGCCTGCAGGGGGCTGTTGGGAGCTGGCTTTACCTCACCCACTGTGTCCATGGCTCCCCCCACCTCACACCTGCTCTCCCAGACTCCAGTACAGTTCTTTGCTGGTTCATTGAGGCATTGTGGCACTCCCCAGACCCAGGTCATCCCCTGGCTTTCCTCCTCTGCCCCAGCGGTAGTCACTGGTGCTGGGACTAGCTGACCCAGCCCTCTCCTTGCAGTCCTGGGTGTGACCCTCTCGATTGCCTCCTGTTAGCCTCCAGGAAGGTCACCCAGCAGGCCTGGCTTCCTAGGAAAGTTCACTGATCTAAAGTGGGGTCTGTCAGGTTTGGGAGGCCAGGTCGGTGCTGGGAGAGGGTGGGGGACAGGGGCAAGGAAAATTGCTACCTGATTGTTGAAGATTTTTTCTCTTGCCTTACAATTGGAGGTTCTGGGAAACCTCTTGCAGAATTTCACACAGGATTCTTGGAGCCACACCCACTGGAAATCAAGCCAAAGGAGTGCTGTGGCTCCCCTGGCCCCCTCCCTGTCCCCCTAGTCTTGTAGATTGCACTAATTTACATCCCAGAATCAACACTGTATGGGACCTGCTGAGCTGCAGCCTCACTCGGAGCTAGGGATCTGCGGTTGCTGTTTGTCCTGCCTAGAGGCTGCTCCTCACCTCATGCTGCTCCCCAGAATAGATCCCGAGGCTTCAGCCCCTTGTAGTCCTGGCCTGGACCAGGCCCCAGGTGGGCCCTGCATCTCTTGGAAGGGCTAGGACAGCTGGTTATTTCCTATTAGTACCAAAGAGGAGCACAGTGGGGGAAGTGAGTGGAGTGCAGTGTGGCTTGGGCCTGGCACAGGCAACAAGCTGGCTGAGCACTTCCACGAGGGCACACCCAGGCAGGCAGCCCTGGGTCCTCCCCTTAGGGAGGGACAGGCTGAGGTAGTAGCACTGGGTGGCAATGCAACGAGAGGAGGTAGAGACCTGAAGGTGCGCCTAGCCCCCACAGACCCTGTTGTGTCCTCACAGACAGGTTGCTCCTGATTGGGCACGGGGCTTGGGTGAAACATGCAGGCTCCTGAGGTGCATTTGTGTTTGGGGAGCCTGGTCCAGAACCCAAAGGGGAGGAATGGGTCTTTTCATTGGATAAGCTGTTGGGAACAGGCCCCTGATCAGGGAGAGCACAGGTTGGCTGAGCAGCAGGCGTAGAGTCCCTACTGCCAGGAGCCCAGCCTTCCGAGCAGGAGAGGAGATGAAGTCCCCTTTTCCCAGGAGCCGGGGTCTGCTGCCCAGAACCTAAATGCTTTTGAAATCTCTTAGATGTGGAAATATTTTTTCGAACCTGAAAATGCAGCTGGTAGAATTTCAATGGAAGCATAATCCATGTAAAATATATTTTAGTTGATATTTTGTAAAATGCACTTTTTGTGTGTGTTGATCCTGGTTTCCCAGATCTGTATTTCAGTGTTTACAAGGGAGGGAGGCCCTTTCCTTACCTCCCTTTTGACAGAGATTAGAAGTACTTCTTTAAGAAAAAAAAAATAAATTTGAAAAATTGTATTGATTTAGAAAAGGGTCGTTTTCCTGTGTGTCTTGTCTCTGGATGTGTAGGCATGGTGGGACACTATTCTTCTTGGGGGTCCCTCCTGTCACTCGAACTATAGTCAGTAACAAAGAGGGGGAGGATACTAAGGGAATAAGAGCTTAGAGTTAATTGCCATTTCCATAGCCACCTACTTACCCTGGACACCATAAGGACAGAACCCTAAACAGTCATAATCTTGGGGAACCCAGCCAGGACCTTGGGATCTTACTGTTGGCACTGCTGGCAGGAGGAAGCAAGGCCACAGCATGGGGCCAAGGGCTTGGACTTGCTGTCCCCAGCTTCATGCCTGAAGTCTCAGGGTGGACCCTCACTGAAGGTGGGGTGGCTGCAAAGCCATGGCCGTGGTGGCTCTCAGGGGGGTGATTAGTGATATAGCTATCAGGAACCTGGAGCTGCACTGTGCTTAGAGAGTTGCTCATAGGTGCTTCCTTCACTCTTGTTTTAAGGATTATTTTTATTGGAAAGACAGATATACAGAGAGGAGGAGAGGAAAATTTTCTGTCTGCTGATTCACTCACCAAGGGGCTGCAACTGCCAGAACTGAGCCGATCCAAAGGATCCAAGGCTTTGGGCCATCCCAGGCCACAAGCAGGGAGCTGGGTGGGAAGTAGGGCTGCCGGGATTGGAACTGGCTCCCATATGGGATCCTGGCACATGCGAGGACTCTGCTAGGCTACTGGGCCGGGCCTGTTCCCTTCACTCTTACAATCAGGAATATGCAAAGCTATGTGCCTTGACCGAGGCCTCCCTCATCCCAGCTGCCAGCTCTGGGAGCTGCCCTTGAATCAAAAACGAGCACATATGGCCAAGTAACCCAAAACAGGTTTTTTTTAAATTTTAAAATGTATTTTATTTGATAATCTTTACATAATTGATTAGGGCACTAAATGGGTAAGGCCATTGTTTCCACATTATTATATATTTTTTCTTTATCTAGGTTAAGGGGGGGATAAGGGGAGAAGCGCCACCCATCCCAAGTCCCTGATGAGGGGCAAGCTCCAAGGGTCCTGCTCAAGTGGTTTCGATAGTTCAAGAGTTCTGAATTGCTGCCAATTTCACCATTCCCAAAATAGTTCTTTTTGTTTTTTTTAAGATTTATTCATTTTTTATTGGAAAGTCAGATATACAGAGAGGAAGATCTTCCATCCGATGATTCACTCTCCAAGTGAGTGCAACGGCCGATGCTATGCCAATCCGAAGCTAGGAGCCAGGAACTTCTTCTGGGTCTCCTATACAGGTGCAGAGTCCCAAGGCTTTGGGCCGTCCTCGACTGCTTCCCCAGGCCATAAGCAAGGAGCTTGTGGGAAGGATGGGAAGTGGAGCTGCCAGGATTAGAACCGGCGCCCATATGGGATCCCGGGGCGTTCAAGGCGAGGACTTGAGCTGCTAGGCCACGCCGCCGGGCCCCAAAAATAGTTCTAAAGCCTCTTTATTCCTCTGCTAATGTAAGAGTGTCTACTGCAGGATGGGAGGATGCCTTCACCAGAAAATAATCCCATCACCAAGATCCTGTCCAGCTGTTGGAAGAAAGGAGCGGTGTGGTGGAGATTAAACGCTCCAGTCAGCCAAAGTTGCGAATGGGCTTGGGGTGGCTGGTGTGCACCAGATACATCCTCATCTTGAGGTATGCACCGTCATGTCACCCCCTCCCCCTCAGCAAACAGGAACCATAGCTGCGCTGAGCCCTGTAACTTTGTCTCCAAATCTTTCCACTTCTCTCCATTCATCTGATAATGAAAATCTTTTTTAAAAAAAGTTTATTAGAGCCAGCAGTATGGTGTAGAAGTTGGTAGGTGCCACCTACAATGCCAGTATCCCATTTGTGTCCTGGTTACTATATACTGGTGTCCAGATTACTATATTGCCCATCCAGTTCTTTGCTAATGCACCTGGGAAAGCACCAGAGGATGGCCTCTGTATCCGTATGGGAGACCTGGATGAATTTTGGCTTTTCTCTAGCCTAGCCCTGATGTGATAGTAGCCATTTGGGGAGTAAGCCAGTGGCTGGATGATTGCTGTCTCCCAATCTCCCTGCTCTTCCTGTAACTACCTTCCAAAATCCTTGCCCTGCAAGTTTTGGGATCCCATTTGGGCAAAGATTCATGTTTTGGCTGCTCCACTTTTCATCCAGCTCCCTGCTTATGGCTTGGGGAAGCAGTCAAGGAAGACCCAAACAAAGTCTTGGGTCCCTGCACCCATGTGGGAGACCCAGAAGAGACTCCTGGCTCCTGGCTTAAGATCAGCTCAGCTCTGGCCAGTGCGGTCATTTGGGGAAGTTAACCAGTAGATGGAAGATTTCTCTGTCCTTTGTAAATCTGACTTCATTTCCAATGAAAATAAATAGTAAAAAAATTTTTAAAAAATATATTTGAAAGAATGTTAGGGCAAGGTCTATGTTGTAATCTTTGATTCACTCCCCAAATGGTTGCAACCACCAGACTGAAGCTGGAAGCCAGAAATTTCCATCCTGCCCCCCTCCGTGGGTGAAGGACCCAAGCAGTTAGGTGTCATCCACTGCTTTCCTGGGGATATCAACAGGGAGCTGGATTGAAAAGGTTGACCCTGCAGTTCATTATGGGCTGCCCTCCATTCTTTATCATCCTCACAGCAGTGAGGTCAGCTGCTTCCTCCCTCCATGGCACTCTGCCCCATTCATCTGAAAGATGGTAGAAGGGTTTGGGTTTTACAATTAGGCTGACCAGGGTTGAGTTTCAGCTTCCCAGAGTCTCTTTCTTAAGCCTGCTGGGGTGGCTGTGACAATGTAGAGGAGCAGGTGCTGCCTCATCTGGCTCTCATCCTCACGCATAAGCTCCTAGAGCAGGTGGGCAAAGACTGGCCAGTCTGTGCTTCTGGACACCCATTTCCCTGCTGCTCCCCATCCCTTAAAAATGTGCATCAATATTGTCAGGCTGGAGTGCCCTGAACATACTTCAGCAGCGGAAAAGCAGAATTCCCAGCTATTGCTAAACCCAAAGGTCACCGCGCACACACTGGTCAGTGCCAGGCAGTTCTTTCTGAGAATGCCCAGGACCTGCGGGGCTGGGGCCGCGGGAAGGACGTCGCAGAGGCGCACACTGAAGACTGCTTCCAGCCAGGCGTGCGTCGGGTCTCTACCGCCCTGACCAGCAGCTGGGACGAAGGGCGTGTCTGGGCGAGAGCTCCCTCCGGGGTGCTGGGTGCGGAGCCTCTCGCGGCAGGGCACGCCCCTGGCGCGCCAGGCTACTGCATCCCAGGGCTTTACTGCCTTCGAGGTCTTTGCAGCTTTAGTCCCCACACACTCCGGGGCGGTCCTGGCTCAGACGCCCCTACCCGAGTAGGGGTCCGGGGACACACGCCCCAGCTCGCTTCCCGCTGGGGCGCCCGCCCCTCTCTCCGCCCCTGGCGTGGGCCCGCCCTGCGCCTGTGTCACGGCGGGGCCGCGGGGCGGAGAGCGGCCGGGCGGGACATCCGGCCCTGGTGCCTCTCCGAGCTATCCTGCAGCCTCCCGCCGCCGCCTGCTCTCCGCGGCCCAGGAGCCGACCACCCCGGCTCCTTGGGACTCCCCTATCCCACCCCAGCCCTATCCCTCTACTCCCTATCCCCTCCGGCTCTGCCGCTTAACCCGCTTGCCCTGATCCCCGCCTCCCCCAGCCACCCTCGACTTGTCCGGGCCTGCACGGGCCCCCACCCCGGAGAACAATGTTCCCTCGCCCGCTGACCCCGCTGGCGGTCCCAAATGGCGCTGAGCCCCTGGGCCGCGGCCTGAGACGGGCCCCGCTGGGCAGGGTGCGGGCCGGGCCGGGGGGCCCGCCACTGCTACTGCCGTCCATGCTGATGTTTGCAGTGATCGTGGCCTCCAGCGGGCTGCTGCTCATGATTGAGCGGGGTATCCTGGCCGACATGAAGCCCCTTCCCCTGCACCCTCCCCGCCGCGAAGGCGCTGCCTGGCGCGGGACCGAACCCAAGTCCGGGATACTACCCCTGGCTGCCGGGGACTCAGACTTCCAAGTTCGACAGGACGTCCGGAACCGGACCTTGCGGGCGGTGTGCGGGCAACCGGGCATGCCCCGCGACCCCTGGGACCTACCCGCGGGGCAGCGGCGCACCTTGCTGCGCCACATCCTCGTGAGTGACCGCTACCGCTTCCTCTACTGTTACGTGCCCAAGGTGGCCTGCTCCAACTGGAAGCGAGTGCTCAAGGTGCTGGCGGGAGTCCTGGACAGCGTGGATGTCCGTCTCAAAATGGACCACCGTAACGACCTGGTGTTCCTGGGCGATCTGCGACCGGAGGAGATCCGCTACCGCCTGCAGCACTACTTCAAGTTCCTATTTGTGCGCGACCCCTTGGAGAGGCTGCTCTCGGCCTACCGTAACAAGTTCGGTGAGATCCGCGAGTACCAGCAGCGTTATGGCGCAGAGATCGTGAGGCGGTACCGGGCTGGGGCGGGACCTAGTCCTGCCGGGGACGACGTCACCTTCCCCGAGTTTCTGAGATACCTGGTGGACGAGGACCCTGAGCGCATGAATGAGCACTGGATGCCCGTGTACCATCTGTGTCAGCCATGTGCCGTGCACTACGACTTCGTGGGCTCCTATGAGAGGCTGGAGGCTGATGCCAACCAGGTACTGGAGTGGGTGCGGGCTCCGCCTCATGTGCGCTTCCCCGCGCGCCAGGCCTGGTACCGGCCGGCCAGCCCAGAGAGCCTGCACTATCACCTCTGCAGCGTCCCCCGGGGCCTGCTGCAAGACGTGCTGCCCAAGTACATTCTGGACTTCTCCCTCTTTGCCTACCCGCTGCCCAATGTCACCAGGGAAGCCTGTCATCAGTGACCCTGGGTGTGGGGCTAGCAGGGCCAGCGCCTCTCACTTCTGCCTTGTAACTCAGCCCCTGGAGGAGGGGCATACTTGGGCCTTGAAGAGGTTCCTTGTGCGGGTTTACCAGGAACTCAGAGGACAGGGCCTGTGGCTACACAGTGGGCTGTGTCCTGGCCCCTGTAGGGTCCTTTCCCGCCCTGGCAGAGGTGGGTACCAGCTTGCCAGTGAAGCAGTGCCTACATCTGAAGGCTGATTTCAGGCTCCCCAGCTGCAGGGGGCATTTAGCGCCACTCACCCTTGACCACAGCTGGAGGCGGCAGTCCTCAGGAGCTGTGGCCGTGGGCCCTGTCACCCCCAGGTGCTGCAGGACTGTGGTGAGCAGTCATGCCTTTCCCACGTTCTGTGCCTTCCACTTCAACACTTGCCAGATCCTTTCCCTGCTTCCAAGGAAAGGCAGCAGGGACCCTGCTTGATAGCTCCAGGACTGGTCCGTAGAAACCCAAAGACCCGTGCCCCATCTCTTCCTGAGGCTCTGGGATCCTCTTTGCTTGTCCTGTCCCTTCTGTCCAGGTCTTTGAGGTTGGGATTCTGCTTGGTGTATCTTGTTGCCTGTTTTCCAGTGCATTTATTTAAGATTTGTACTTTTTGATAGAACTCTTTCAAGGGCTGTGTTTTCCTACCAGCTGACTTTTTAATAAAGTGGTTTTGTATATAAAGCAAAAACCTCCATGACTGCCCCTCTGAGCTCTGATGGGTCCAGCCCAGCCCCTGGTGGCTGTTTGCCCTAGGGAGGGGAGGGGGCTTGCAGGTGGAAGCAGTGAGAGCCAGAGCAAAGGATTTGGGCTGGCCCAGAGGGGCCACTGTCACCCAGAGGAGCTACACCAGCTCCCAGACTGGGCTCAAGGAGTGGTCCCAAGACCAGCAGGGTACGCTCACCTGCAACATTCCCTGCAGGTAACAGGGGCTCTGCCTTCTCCTGGGCAGGAGTCCATCTAAAAGAGGTGCCCAAAACACCTTTAGATGAAGAAGGGGGTCATGGTGTGAACAAAGGGAGGTTATTCCTGGTGTGGGACTTGTAAGGCAGGCAGGCAAACAGGCAAGGAACTGCCTTGGGTCCAGAGGATGTTGCAGGCTATGCAGGAGGCATACAATGGGAGCAGGAGTGGATGAGAGGAGAGAGAATCCAGCCTGCCATGTGTGTGGACAACGGGGAGCCCTGTCCCTGGGAAGGATGCAAAGCTGGAGTTGGCTCAGCTCTGATGGTTCACTCTGCCCATAGGAACAGCTGTGCTTTAGCGACCTGAGGCTGTGGTCAGAGCTGGTGCAGTTGCTGGAGCCAGAAGGAGGTGAGGTGGAAAGAGACATTAGCCTTGCTGGGGACCTGATGACCCACTGTCACGGGCTTCCAAGTAGGCTTGCCAGCACCTCCTGTCGGGGGTCAGATGCCTTCTTCCAAGGGCTCTGGGGACTTCACCAGAGTTGGGCAAGTGGCAGCTCTGCTCCCCCACACACTGATGCAAGTCACAGGGACAAAGCAGCCCCAGGCCCAGTAGGTATTCCCAGAGGCTGGGCCTGCCCAGCTAGGCCCCTTACCTCCCTCTGGGCCCCAGCTGCTTGGCTGGGGATTCCTTTTCTCTGGCACTAAGTCAGCCCTCACCCAGTAGTCCTCCCTGTCTCCTAGCAGCTCCAGATCAAAGGCAGCCATCAGCTGCCCTCACTGTGCCCTAACAATGCAGGGTATGAAAGACCCTGATGGACCCAGTTGGTGCATTCCCCTCAGCTTGCTGAACTCTCCCAGCAGCCTGATGCTAGAGGTGTCTCCCCGGCTCACCAACATGGATGCTAGTCCCCAGAGGGCTAGCCAGCTGCCCAGACCTGTGTGCTTGGCAAGGTGGGGGGAGGGACAGAGGTGTAGTGTGGAGGAAGGGACTGAAGAAGGTAAGTGTGCAGAGCAGAGGGACATGCTGAGTTAGCGCAAGGCTGAGGGTCTGGGCTGTGGTCAGGAGCCTTTGCCTTTACAGGAGTTTCCTCCTTTTTTGGCAAGGACCCCAACCCTGCCCATTGCCCACCTTGAGCAGAAGGCCAATGAAGTTCCCAGCTGTGCTCTCCCTGAGGGCAGGCAGAAGGTGCTGGGCCAAAAGATTCCTGAATCTGGACACCTGTAACTTGGGGAGGAAGGCCTGGTGGTGGCGATGGGGGTCTGGCAAACAACTGCCACCCCTGCCCCCGACTGGGCTATTTCTCACCTCCAAGAGAACTTAACTTGTCTTCTGTTCTTCCTTTAAAAAAAAAAAAAAAAAAAAAGGGCTTCTTCAAGCAGGTGGCCAAGAGTAGCAGGGCCTGCCTTACCCTGGGCTGGTGCTCCAGGCGCTGGGTGGCCAGGGACAGCAGGCTACCTGGCACTGGACACCTGCCCTGCATCTTCTCCGGTTCCACTGGCTCCATGCAGACATAAGCCCCCAGGGAAACAAAGGGTCCCTCTGAACTTGGGCCCTCCCAGACAGCTCCATTGCTCTGGGCACACATAGGGATGGGGGATGGGCCTGCAGTGGGTTGACTTCTTTCTCTGGGGCTGAGGGCCACGAACAAAGGAAAGGGGAGGAGCCCACAGGGGGTCTGGCCTGACAAGTCTGGCTCCACTTCCAGGTTCCAGGTCTAGTTCATTTCTCCTACCACGAGGAGGAGGTGGGGAGCAGCTCCCAGGCCCCTCCTAGCGTGAATCAACTGCTTTCTGATTTTTCTTCTGAAGCAGCCAGGCCAGCTGCAAGCTCTTCTCCCTCTTCCTCAGGGAAAACACTGATGATCATCAGCCATAGCTGCTGTGACCAGAGAGGCGTGAGCGCCTGGGCCAGCGCCGTCCCTGCATTAACCTTTTGCTTCAACAAGAGCCCAGCACAGTCACATCCTTCCCAATTGATAAATAAGGAAGTTCTGTGAAGTAAGAGGTGGTAGGATTCAGGTGGAGACTCACCCCTTCTAAAGTTGCTCCCATTCCCGGGTGAAGCTGGCTCACTGCACTTGCTGATGGGCATTGTACTGCTTTTCTCTGCTGGTTTTTGCCCTCCTCCTCAGCACTGCACATGTAGTTTGTCTTCAGACTATACCAGCTATGATAACATCCTCCAGAATCTGGGCACAGCATGATGGCTCAGTGGCTGTCTCTGCCTTGCATGTATCGGGATCCCATATAGGCACTAGTTCATGTCCTGGCTGCTCCACTCCCCTTCTAGCTTCCTGCTTGTGGCCTGGAAAAGCAGTGGAGGATGGCCCAAAGCCTTGGGAACCTGCACCCGTGTGGGAGACCCGGAAGAGTTCCTGGCTTGGATTGGCATAGCACTGGCCGTTGTGGTCACTAGGGGAGTGAATCATGGGATAGAAGATCTTCCTCTCTGCCTTTCCTCCTCTCTGTATATTTGACTTTGCAATAAAAATAAAATAAATCTTAAAAAAAAAAATTCTCTAGATTCACCTATCCTGAGGATCAACGTTCCACTGCTGCTGAACTCAGACCACCGGTATACTGCATTGCTAGTGGAGGCCCTCCAAGAAGCAGGTGCACACAAATGGAGATGAATGAGAGTTTGATTGGAGAAAACACCTGTGCAGGATAAAGGCAGCAGGAAGAGGTAGGAAGAGGCCACACGTGTGAAGGGAAAGCAAGATGCAAACAGCCCCATATCCCAGTCTCTGGCCAGTGAGGACCCCCAGGCAAATGGGGTGCCTCAGAAGGGCCCTTCGTGGGCAGCAGCTGTGCAGGGTGAGTACCCAGCCAAGCTCGGTGGTTGGTGATCAGTGGTGGGCTGGAAGCAGTGCAGGGAGGGGGGATAACAAAGGGGAACATAAATAAACACATTGAGGCAGGCAGAAAGTACAGGGGAGGCAGGGAGTGATTGGAACAAGGTTGGGACTGGTCACGCAGTGGCCCTCCACTGGGTAGCAAGAAAACTGTGCCGGCCTTGGCCTTGACGTAGGGATGGTGCGGGAAGGGCAGAAAGAAAGGAGTTGCATGGAAAAGGAGAAGCCAAGGGTGCTTCCACACTGTCAGGTCCACTGGGTAGCTGCCTCCATGGCCATCTGGCCAGCTGCCCGGCTGCAGATGGCAGAAACCAATGCTCAACCTCACAGCAGCTCTAGCTGCGGGAAGCCAGCAAGTGTCCACCTGGTCAGCTGCCCCTGTGACCGCCACCAGAGCTCACCACGTCTAAGCACTGAAGGCGGCAGGGCAGTCTTCATGAGCTGGCAGGTAGGGTACACAAAGACCCCTGGAGGAAGGCGCCTGGGGTGTGTCTGGGCAGGAGCTTTCTGATCACACAGCTAAACAGAGCTGGAGCTGAGTTGAGGCTCCAGCAGTGCCACTGTGCCTGACTCTGTCCATGAGTCTCTGCCCCTGAACCTGCTGAGCACTGCGGCGGGCCAGGCCTCTCTTGCTGTGTGCAAGCAGGTGTCCTGCTCTGGTCAGATAAAAGAGCAGGCTGACCCAATGAAGGCAGGAGGGCCAGGGTGGAAAGGCTCAGCTTCACTTCCGCAGAGGAGGCTTGAGTTTTGTCCTTGAGACCACCCTCAGGCACCCATCGATAAAAGCAGCAACTAGATAGAGGACTGGGGCAGTGAGAGCCACAAAGGAAAGACTGAGTCAAATCCAACCACCAACCCTCCCGAGGCCTGCTGAGGCCACTGACTGTTAGCCCTTCACAAATCCTGTGGTTCCTAGGACATTCCGTCTGACTTGTTTCTGCCCCCAGATGGAGTTAGTTATTGAAAGGCAACAGGTGACTTTGTTTCTTTTTGTATTGATAAAGTTTGAGTAAGTGGCTGGATGCATGGATGGTTGATGGGATGGGTTGATGGATGTGAGGCACTTCTACAGGGAGAGGAATGGGGAATCACAATGAAATCGAGCAGTTGGCATATTGTCTCTTCTCATGGAGGGGAGGAGAGCTGTGCTGGGGGAGGTGCAGGGGCAAGGTGGTGTTTGGCTCATTATTAACTCCGCCTGCGAGAGCTGACATCCCCTATGGGTTCTAGTCTGTGTCCCAAATGCTCCACCTTTTTTTTTTTTTTTTTTTTTAAGATTTAGTTATTTTATTGGAAAAGCAGATTTACAGAGAGAAGGATCTTTCCTCTGTTGGTTCACTCCCCAAGTGGCCTCAATTGCTGAAGCTGTGCTGGTCCAAAGTCAGGAGCTTCTTCTGGGTCTTCCACATAGGTGCAGGAGCCCAAGGCTTTGGGCCATCCTTCGCTGTTTTCTCAGGCCATAAACTGGGAACTGGATGGGAAGTGGTGCCTGTATGGGATCCTAGCGCTTAAAGGGGAAGTATTCGCCAGTTGAGCTATCACGCTCTACTTCGTTTTTGTTTTTACATCTTGTTTTTTTTAATAATCTTACATAGTTGATGAGGGTAAAAAGGGTCAAGGGCGCTACAGGAAAGTGGGTAAGATCATTATTTTCACACTAATATCATTTTTTTTTTACCCTGTGTCTGGGGTCAGAGGAGAAGACAAAGGGAGAAGCCCCACCCAGCCTCCCACCCATCCCAGGTCCCCGATGTGAGGCATGCTCTGAAGGTCCTGCTCAAGTGGTTTTGATAGTTCAACAGTTCTGAATTGCTGCCAATCTCGCCATTCCAAGCACAATGAAATCTATTCAGAATCCACTGGCTGACATAGTCTCTTCATGATTGGGGTTCTGAGATCAATTCAGTTGGAGGGATCTCCAAAGAAACTTTGTCTGAGGTGATGCCAGACCTGATTGTTGTGTGTGCTTGCCAGTACAGGGTCCGGCACCATTCGTCGCCCCAATCAGCTTATGCACTTGCTGGTGGTTGCAATTGCTTGGTCAGTTCTGTTTCCAGCCCTGTCTTCCACACGAACCAATGGTTGTTGCAGTCCAGCCCAATCCTGCCCACTT